TGAGAAGGTTGTGGGTTCAATCCCCACAGACCTTACCACCCATAACATAAAACACAGACAATAATGACATACAATTCAAAGGAAGGTTAAAGTATAATAACATGAAGAACACCTGAACACGCACACACACGCGCACACACACGCGCACACACACGCACACACACACACACACACACACACACACGCATACATACACGCATACATAAAATCCTGGTTTATCCAGGCTCCAATTTTCTCGTGTATTGATATGGTTCTTATGGCCACACTTACATTTTAAAGCCAGATCCCGTCAGACCTCTGAAGCTGTGCAGGGCAGGGCCTGGTTAGTACTGTGATGGGAGACTTCTTGGAACACCAGGTGCCACAATGGGGCGGCTGTGGGTGCCAAACTGTAGTTGTGTCATTAGAATGAGTCTGGGGTGTGTGTGAATGGTTGGTGGTGGTCAGAGGGGCCAATGGCACATACTGGTCGCCTTGATTCTGTCTGCTTAGAAAACCATCACTTACCCGATCTCTGTCTTGCAGCTGCTCCCCCTGCTGGTCTCCTGTCGCCATTACACCATGGATCTTCTTCCCTGTGAGGAGCTGGAGTGCGTGGTGTGCTTCAACCTGTACTCTCGCTCAGACCGCATCCCCCGCGTGCTGCACTGTCACCACACCTTCTGCTCCGTGTGTCTGGAGAAGCTGTCGCACCAGAGGGAGGCGGTCCGCACCGTCTGCTGCCCGCTCTGTCGCTGGATCACCTGCACCAACGCCACCCTCAGCCTGCCGGGGTCGCTGTGGGTCAACACCGACATATGGGACCAGATCTCAGAGGACCAGCTGAGGGAGAGAGGCTTCGACATAGAGATGGACCAACGAGAGATGATGAGGCAACAAGTGTGAGTGCATGGCCTGGGATAGAGATGGGACAGACATGGGACAGAGATGGGACAGACATGGGACAGACATGGGACAGACATGGGACAGAGATGGGACAGACATGGGACAGACATGGGACAGACATGGGACAGAGATGGGACAGACATGGGACAGAGATGGGACAGACATGGGACAGAGATGGGACAGACATGGGACAGACATGGGACAGAGATGGGACAGACATGGGACAGACATGGGACAGACATGGGACAGAGATGGGACAGACATGGGACAGAGATGGGACAGACATGGGACAGAGATGGGACAGACATGGGACAGAGATGGGACAGACATGGGACAGAGATGGGACAGAGATGGGACAGACATGGGACAGACATGGGACAGAGATGGGACAGACATGGGACAGAGATGGGACAGACATGGGACAGAGATGGGAAAGAGTTTTTCTGTGCCTTCGGCTTCATTCATTATCGTGTATCGCAGCTTATCACAAAGAAGATTAGCTTTTGATTAGTATTTATTAGTCAATTTTTATATATTCTATTTCTCTTTTATTATTTATTATATTGCTATTGCTTTTATTCATGTTTTGTGTGATAGTTCCTTTCAGGCTCACATTTTAGTGTTTTACTTATTGTATTGTTTTTAGTATCCCCAGTGTTTCCTCTGGAGGAGCCCTCTGCGCTGGGAGCGGTGGTTGGCTGTGGCTGTGGGGGTCGGACTCTTGGACCTGGTGGGGGCCCGGGGCCTCGGTTTTGGGTCTCCTCTGGGTCCTGTGTCGTCCCCTTTGGCTATGGGCGTCTCTCTGCTCCTGGCGCTGACGGCTCCTTGGATGGCGTTTCTTCAGCCGGTTGCATCTGAACCCTGCCAAGTCTCTTATCATCGTTTTATTGTTTTATCGGTGCGTGTGTGCGTGTGTGTGTGCGTGTGTGTGTGTGGGGGGGGGGGGGGGGGGGGGGGGGGTGGTGTTTGCTTGTGGTCTGGGGAGGGTCTGTTGGGCGGTCGGGGGGAGGGCATGGGCAGGATTGTTTTTTAGCCAAACTGTAAAGCACTTTGTGTTGCATCTGTTGTATGAAAAGCGCTTTATAAATAAACTTTGATTGATTGATTGTGTGAGAGCAGTGTATTCTGGGTCCTGTAGGGCAGGGGTACCCAAAGTTTTTAACCCAAGATCCCCATGATAAATGCGCTGCTCCCCTAACCCTGCTAACCCTTACCCACCTCAACAGGTGGGGGGTGTGAGTGGAGCCATGTGAGGGTCAGCACTACATCATAAACGGAATCGGGACGGAAGCGGAAGTAAATATAACAAACTATCTATTCATGCTTAAACTTAACCAGCCATTTCCATAAAATAACCCCAACTCAGCCTTAACCCTAACCTTAACCATCTTACTCAGAGGCCTAAAACTTAACCAGTCACCAAAAGTAGGATTGTTACTTCCGGTTTCGTCCCGATTCCGTATATCAGTGTCTCCCAAAGTGGGATCCGCGGCCCCCTGGTGGGCCGCGAGGGTACTGCAGGGGGGCCGCGGGAGGTCATAAAAATATATATATATATATATATATATAATTATTTAATGTTAAATTTATAATGTTTTGTTTGTAATATTAAAATATTTGTGTTCATTATTTGACTTTAATAATCCACTGTAATCATTTTTGTATTACAATGTTTGTAGCAGAGGCTATTTCCCCAAAATAAAATAACCAGAAGAGCCTATTCTTAATGTTGTCTTCTTGGTTATTATTTTGGGGGGCCACGCAGACCCGTCAGATTTTTAAGGGGGCCTCGGTGTTACTGAGTTTGGGAATGGCTGCCGTATATGATCTAGTGCCGACCGAGACTTCAGTGCCCTAGTGCATTGTGGGTCAGGGCTAGAGCAGTGTGTGGAGACTTCAGTGCCCTAGTGCATTGTGGGTGAGGGCTAGAGCAGTGTGTGGAGACTTCAGTGCCCTAGTGCATTGTGGGTGAGGGCTAGAGCAGTGTGTGGAGACTTCAGTGCCCTAGTGCATTGTGGGTCAGGGCTAGAGCAGTGCGTGGACGTTCGCAGTTGTTAGCATAGTTCACTTGGGGATAATTCAAATATTTCTCCTCTTTTCACAGGCCAAGCTCCAAACCATCATCGCTGCTCGATATTCTCCTTCGAATGTTCGTCTGTGGAACCAACAACAGACACTGATCCTGCTTTTACTACTACTACAATTAAAAATCCATACGACTACTACTGCTACTACTACATGCTGCTATTTCCAAACACTACTGCAACTACTACTGCTACAACTACCTCTATACTCTTGCAACTACTACTACTACCACGGTACCACCACTACTGCTGCTACTTAAAAAAGGCTCTGTGAAAGTGATCTGAGTTGATTTGGTGAAATGCAGTGGAACTGGTATCCGAGTGATGTCTCACCTCAAGCAGATCAAAGTGTGTTTACATTGTGACATATAATCATTGTAAAGTACTGCAGTAAATCTGGGGGTGTCAAAGCAGTACAGAGATGTCCCAAACGATAACTGTGAAACTGAATTATTCCGCTGATCAATGTGAAGAAATGTGAATCACGTATATATTTTGTGAATATGATGTAAATAATTGTTGCTGTTGATGTTATTTTTCATGTACTTTTTGAATAAAGTGTTAAGTAAAACAAACACGTGTCTTGTTTAAAGTTCTTTGATTACTAAAGGCCATTTTAAAGATGAATATATTTCAGAAGCCTCGTTTTTTCTCATTTTTAACGTTTGGTCAATTTTACAATGCTACTTCCTGGTTGCAAGTTACCATGACAACAACAAAGTAAACAGGCTTTGGCCAAATCTTGTCTCGTTTCCACAATAGTTTAGTAATGATGAGTAGAAATATGATTGGCTAATTATATTAGCTTTTCTTAATGAGATGTTACAAGTTGAGAATCCTTGTCGATGGTCAGAATTATAGTTAGAAATCAGCGTTACTTCCTGTAGATTTAAAAAAAGCATTTTCAACATTTTGTCTCCTCTTCTGTGTTTACATGGATAGCCAAACATGTTATGAGTGCGTGAGAAAAATAAAAATAAATCATAAAGTAATATACTAAATATAAATATAGAGGAAAAAAAGCCCTGAAATGAGATGCCGGACTATTAAAGCCACACTCAAAGAAATGACTTGTAGAATTTACTTAATAAAATCATTGTAAGTATTTGCACTCACATTTTTTAAGTACATTTTAATGTTGTAATATCAAGTATAACTTACTTACCAGCAGTGTTGGGCACGTTACTTTGAAAAAGTAATTAGTTATAGTTACTAGTTACTTCTCCCAAAAAGTAACTGAGTTACTAACGGAGTTACTCCACTATAAAAGTAACTAGTTACCAGTAAAAGTAACTATTGCGTTACTTTTTCGTTTTGTTCTGGAACATAATGTGCACTCGACGTGCGCATTTTTACCTTTAACAGTGCCAATATTTCCATCCATTTTTACCTTTAACCTCAATGAGTTTGAAATATTGCCAATATTTCCATCTAGAAAAGTCTGTTTTGCTGCTGAAGTCCTGTTCACTCTTCATCTCTCTCTCACCCGCCACTGTGAATGTGGAAACACCGGTGAAGCACTGACTTCAGCCCAATCAGATGAACATATATATCATATAACAGCTAAATCAAGTGGACAATTTGTTTGCCTACAGCAAAATATGTTTCATGGCCGCATTGTTTGTTCATACAAAACGCAAAACTATGAGTTATGGGTCTTACCTTATAAATGACCTGCACATACCACTTCAGTTCAGACCAGTTCTGTGTGTCCAGATAATAGTTTGAGCGTAGATATGTAATCCTCCATTTGGAAATGAGTTTTAAAAAGTAAAACAAAACGCGTGTGTCCTCCGTAAACTACTCTGTTTTGCTAGGTGCAGCCGAGTGCATCCAATTTCTAAAATCAACCGTCTTACACTTCACCTCTCTTTCTTATCATTCCTATAGTAATTGAAAAATTACCGTTAGTGCATTTTAAATTATCTTAAAATGTGTTATATGTATGTTAGCCAAACTTGTTGCAGCTCTTAGCAGATAAACCAGGAAGAGAAAGGAGCTTTCTGATGGAATTGTATGCAGCCGACTTCTGCGCTCACATGCGCTCCTCTGTGGCTGACCTCACGGTGATACAAGCTGTGGTTGAGCGCGACTAAGACCCATATTTGTTTCAAAAACACAATTTATGACCATCCTCTCAACTGTAGACATGTGGATTGTAAAGGAAATATGTTTTACATCAGCCAATAATTGCTGAGAGGTTTTCTCATCCTCCCTTCTCTCATGACAACACGCGCACGAGTCCTATCATGAAGAATAAAAAGAGAAGTTGCGTCTTTAGTAACGCGCAGTAACGGGATGTCGGAAATGATAACGGCGTTATAGTTACAGTCAAAGTAATTAGTTAGATTACTCGTTACTGAAAAAAGTAACGGCGTTAGTAACATAATCATTGTAACTAAATAGTCATTTCAGCAGTGGACTTTGTGATGGCATAAATGAATATTTTTTGCGATGTTGTAAGAATTGTGTTTTGTGGTTTGTCCGCAGCAACAGCAGGAGATGGCCACCGTTCGCAAGTCTCTTCAGTCCATGCTGTTTTAACCCGACTTCTCCCATGGTTCATTTGGATTTGGTTAAAAAACAACAGCAAGCACAGTTTTGTATTTATATTTATTGTAATTTATACACTTCATAAAATGTATTTTCATTGCCTCTTAATTATATTGTTGAATGGTGTTGAGAAATGTATTTATTACATGAACATTTTTAATAAATATTTCATACTGTAATATTTGTGATTTTTTTTTGTTTTTGTTTTTTTGACTTTCATTGTGATTAACTAGAGCACTCAGATAAAGTTGAGTTTGCTGGATTCAAACTCAGCTTTATCTTGAATGGCAGTTATTAAGATTATTCGTCTCACAGTGGGAAACTTCAGTGTTGCATCATGGTTACAGAACAGTAGGAATGAAGAGCACACAAGATAAACAATAACTACTAAAAAAGAATGAAATCAGTATAAAAACAAATCTAAATAGATTAAATTAATCTAAAGTGACTGGTAAGTAATTATAAAGAGAAGGAGTTAACGTTCCATAGTTCATGAAATTAATGCAATATATGAAATAGAAGAATGTGTTCATCACTGAATAAGTCTGATGATGTCACCAGGCGCTGTGTGACTTCAGTGTGTGTCATGGATCTATAATAACATGTGTGTGTGTATTTGTAGTATCCCGGCGCTAGGACCGCGCAGCCCCAGGTCTCGGGGCTGCAGAATACTCAGTACGTGAGTAAAGAGTAAAGCCGCTGCTGGAGCTTTGGCCGAAGAGAGCTACAGAGCTCGCTGTGTCCCAGAACACGCCCCGTACGTTCAGAAAAGTCACTTTGAATGAAACAACCGAGGGATTGTTGAGAGGAGCCGCGGAGCAGAGAGCTGCAGTCATGGAGTCAAAGCGACAGAGCGGTGAGTAAAGTTGGCTTTGTTCAGACTTGAGTGAAACTGCTCCAGTCCCAAACACAGACAAACACCGAGCCGTGAGAGGATGTGTGTGACCCGCTTTAAAAAGGAGGTCACTGTCTTTTTATGGCTGTGTATGTCTTTATATGAGCAGATGGAAACTCTGCTATAGCGCTGTAATGATACTGAGGCGCGTTCCTCCGGAGAAGTTAGAACTTCCATGTAGACTTACAGACATAAGTCCGTCCATAACAGACTGTAAACAGTGGAAACAGACACATGCGGGTGTCTGCAGTCTGCTGCAGCTCTGTGGTGTTTGTGTTGTCTGTCTGTAAACAGCTGAGATCCTCATGCTCCCGGTTTAACGAACCAATTCTGACGTCATGCGCGTGCCTTTACGTGCCCGGTGCGCGCGCACAGCGGAGGAGAGGATCTCAGTGATGCAATCTGAGCCCAACTCTGGAGTGCCGTGTTGGAAGCGGCGCTGCTGGAGGCTGCGGCTCAATGGCCGTTCTGTCCCGGGCTCAGGCCTCAGGCCACAGACAGGAAACGGAATAATGTTTCTCCAGGTGATGGAGCCGCTCCTGGAGCCAGGGAGAGGAGAAACAATGGCCTTTGTGTGAAAGAGAAGGTAAAGGCTGTTGATGAGGTGCTTAATACAGCCATACACAATAACATGACGTCTTTGCATCAGGATACTGTATGGCGTCATGTGACACGAGCCTCAGTTTGATTCAGTACCATTCAACACTTCTGAACCATAACATGAACAGTATTTATATTTGTCCCTTGTAACGTGATGACTCCATCTGAGGACTGGTGCTGGTGTACGTGTGCTAAACAGTTGTGCAGCTGTGCATTTGTGCTGTGGAAAAACTCACTCATAGTCAGTCCTACAACTGCCACTTACGCAGCTTAGTTTGGAGTCTGGAGCAGTGGCCGTATCCTCGATCTCTCCACAGGACGTGAAGTGAGCAGCCTTGATCTCCACATGAGCCATACATTTCCTCTTCCTCCTCCACTTTTGTGGCCTCGGCCCAAGAGTTCACCGGTTAAACTAGTATCAGAGAAAGTATTCTATAGATAGACTCACCGTTTAGTCACAGTTACATGTGGAGACTTCACTTG